GATTTGATTGAAATTAAAAAAAAAGGAGAGATATCTATTTTGAAGTGGGGGGATGAGAGAGATCGATCCGATTTTAGAGCTTCTATGGAGAGCCGAGGGGATGGGAGATAGAGGGGACTACGGCGTAGGAGGGCCCGACCGGGCCGGGTTCCGGGCTGGCGCGGGTGATTTTCCTTTTTTTTTATTTTTTTATTTTTTTTTATTTTTTTCCAAAATTTTTTAATGTTATTTAACTTATAAATTATAAAAAAAAGACAAGAAAAATAACAAAAACAATAATTTTATTAATTACTTAAAATGACATAAATTACAAATAAGAAATGATAAAAACATATTCTTTATTAATAATTGATAAATCAGTTACAAATTACAAGTACAAATTTATTTTGGAATTAATCGCATCACAATAGATAAGTAAATCCCAACTAGGTTGGCACCTACTCACCTATATCACTATCATTTGCAATTATTTCCAAAATAATTCTTTACAAATTGTAAGCTAAGATATAAAAACTACAATCTATTCTTTATATCTATCTGCTAGTCCCAATTCTTCAAATTTATCTTCAATTCCAGCCATCCGATCGATGCCTTGCGTTCGCTTCTCGTACCTCCACCAATCTTGTAAGCACATCACCGCTTGTACAGTATACGGATCCAAGCATGTCCTATGATCGTCGATCAAACGACCTGCTGTGCTGAAGGCGGATTCCGAAGCTACCGTCGAAACCTGCACTGTTAGTAAATCACGAACCATGGTGGAAAGTATAGGATATGAAACTGATCCATATACTTTCCACCATTGCAAAATATCTAAAGCATTTCCTTGACATCTAACTAAAGAAGCAGAAAAATATTCATCTATTTCAGAAACCTCCGATGATGACGATCCAAGTCCAGATCCACCAGTTAGCTCGGCTACCATTGCATACCTATCAAAACTTACACTTTTACCTCGGGCTCGGGATGAGCTCGAAGAAACCGAAGCTGCAGACTGTTGTGCAGCTACACCATGTCTAGCTGCATACTCATCATATAAAGTTTGAAAATAATTTCTAATAAGTAAATGATGAGTAGTAGCATTCAGGGTGGTTCCATCATCTAAGTCTATAACCTGTCCACCATACAATGACTGTAACAAACTTCGAAGGCCAATATCCTTCAAGCATGGATCAATAAGAACCCCCAAACCAAAAATATGAGGAATAGGCCTAAAATACTTATTAAATTTGCTCTCCATTTCAAAAACCATAGGTCCAAAAGTAGCATCCAAACGATATTTATCAAAAAAATTTTGAATATTTAAAATTTGTAAAGCAGCTAAAGTAATGGTTGGATAATAACAGCCAGATAATAACATGGTAGCATCATAAAAAACTTGTAACATTTCATTTAAATTACATATAACTGTCCATTCATCTTCAGTTATTCCATAAGTGCTACCAGAACTAGAACTAGAAGCATAATAGTTTATAAAATCAGTTATAATGTCTTTATATTCTATTGCTACACTTAACATTGCATATGTGGAATTCCACCTATGGTCAACATCTTTTGGAATTAGTCTAGGCTTTACATTTTTTCTTTTACAAAATTGTTTCCATCTTTTAAGTCTTTGTTCAGAAGCACTATGCATGTAAGCAACTGTTCTAACCTTTTCTATCATGGGTTTAATTTCAGTAAATGCACTTTGAACAATTAAATTTAAAATATGACAGATGCACCTAATATGAAAAAGATCACCATGACATGGCAATGATAAAGATGATCTGATAAAATCAACAGCTACATTGTTATTACTTGCATTATCTAGTGAAAGAGAAAATATTCTTTGTGAAATTTCTAATTTCATAAGTTCTTCAATTATTAAATTTGCAACATTAGCACCAGTATGTGACTCTTCTATTGCAATAAAAGAAACAACTCTTTTAAACATTTGCCAATTTTCATCAATCCAGTGTGCTGTGATACATAAATATCCAGTTTGTGCTCTAGATGTCCAAATATCAGAAGTTAAAGAAAATTTACAGTTTAAATTTTTAAAATAAGAAATTATTTTTTCTTGTTCTTGCTGATAATATTTTAAAATATCACGTTGACAGGTTTGACGAGAAAATTTTTTAAATGCAGGATAAAAACCATCTCTAAACATATCTTCAAATTCATCATCTTCTACTAATTTAAAAGGAAGGTTTTTAAGAATGATAAACCTGATTACGCATTTCCTGGCTCTGGCAGCGTCATAGTTCCAACTACCGAGACTACCAGAAGAGGAGGATTGAGAAATCATGGATTGTCGGATATCACCTTGAGGAGGCTGGCCTTTGTTGTGTTTATCTAAATGGCGTTTGAGGTGGTTGGTGCCGCTCTTATGATGAGCTTGAAAAATCTTGCCGCACAAAGCACACTTAGCCTTCTGGGTGAGGATCCTACCGTGTTCATCCTTGGTGACGTCGATCTTCTCGTAAAAATTCCACACATCGGATCTTGGCCGTTTAGGAGCTCTTGGTGCAGATTCGTCGCCACCGGATTCGGGATTAACTTCGGTAGGAGGACTGATAGTAGGAGGACTCATAGTAGGAGGACTCAATTCAGGATCGGGAGATATGTTTTGCTCTTCATAATCAGATCCGGAAGCCATTTGGGGATTGGATTAGAAAGTATAAATAAGAGAGTATAAGAGTATAAGAGAGAGTATAAGAGTATAAGAGAGAAGAGATGAGTTTTTGGTGTGAAGAAAACAAATGAAAACCCCCCTCTATTTATAGAACCAGCCCCCTAGGTAAATGACCAAAATAACCTCACAAAATAGCCGTTTTTTGACCGTTTTTGAGGGCAAAACGGTCAAAGGGCCAATCTGACCGTTGTTACCGGGCCGGGACGGGCCGACCCGGCCACAACGGTCACTTATTCGCTGCTGACCGCTTGAATCCGCGGCCAGGCCGGGCCGGGCCAGCCCGGCCCGGCCGCGTCGTTTTCACACAACGGCGTCACCAATGTGACCGTTGTGGCCGGCCCGGCCTAATTCCGGCAACGGTCACCACTGGTGACCGTTGCCACCCGGGCCGGGCTCCGGTCCCGGGCTGCCCGGCCCGGGCGTTGACCCGGTGGCGCACTCGGCCTGGCCCGGTTTTCCGGGCCGAGGCCGGGCCGGGCCGGGCCCGGGCCAGCGGGTAAAATGGACAGCCCTAGTCAAATCTTTGCCCCAAGTGAAGACAAGCTTCTCCTCAAGACTCCAACGGGTATATGAGTATAAACTGTTTCCTGCATGTCACGGCGGAGTTGGGGCTAGGGTTGGGAGGGGGAGTGGGTTTCTTTTGGGGAGATGGTTGAAGTGAGGAGAGAGAAACGAGTTTGGGGAAGGAATGGAAGGTCATAGGAATGCTTTTGGGGGTGGTGACGTGGCTGGCTCCACGTAGGCGCGAGTTCAACTAGCGAGTTAAAGAGCGAGCCAAATAGCATTTCCGATTCACAAAGAAGGCAGCAGAGCGCTTTAAAATTTGGGTTAATTCACAACAAACTCCCGTAGTATCACCCAAGTGCAAATAGACTTTATAGTTTTGTTTTTATAAACTCATAGGGTGAAAATTTTTTTTTATTACTGTTGAAATCATTAAAAATGTTTAAGGATGTCAGTGGACCCTCTATGGTTTTATTGGTGAGGATAGATCCCCTTTTTCGAATTTTAAAAGAGTGAAAAGTGTTCACTAAGAGGTATATTCGCACCTGAGCCAATATTACAGAGGGTTTGTTTGTAAAAAAAATAGAACTATACTATTTGCAATTGGGTAATACTACAAGGACTTAAAGTTTTAACTATTATTTATATGGTTTAGGGCATCTTCTCTCGTGGAAAGTGCTCTAATAAGACTTGTGTTTCTTAGATATGATGTATACGATGTATGTTTTTTATGGAGAAATATTGTAGCCAAAAGTTTTTCATTAGACTAAGAAATAATAATGTTGTCTAGTTACCTTACGAGATATAACTCCAACAGATACAACATATTTTAACTTGGTTTCTGGAAATTGACTAGACTCATCAAGGTTATGTTTTTAATTTTCTTATCTTTTAGGTTGTCATTTGTAATTTTCATTTTTTTTCATGTTCTATATGTAGGTTTTGGTTTTTTTAAACTTTCATATATTTTTTGGGAGTTTTTTGAAATTTTCAAAAAAAATTGGGGGCTATCTTAACTTTGAGATTTTTCTAGGAGAGTCCTGCAATTTTCATAATTTTAAGGGTTTGCTTGTGATTATCTTTTTTTTTTTTTGGTGTTTTTTGTGTAATTTTTAGATTTCTTTGTTTAAATATGATTTAACATGGGTGCAATTTTTTATATATGATTTCATGTAGAGACTCTCTACATGAGCATTTTTTTATTTCTATACCTACATATATGGTTATTAGATTTTTTTTTCCCTTTTTTTCTAAGTTATAGATTGGTTATCTATGATATGACACATGTTAACACAAAATAGATTGGTTATCTATGATATGACACATGTTAACTTTTTGTGTCTTTAGAAATGACATATCTCATTTTCCTATGTCTTTACAAGTATCATTAACTTCTCATCATATATAAATGAGAGAGAATGAATATCGTAAATATCTACTCCTCAAATTAGATTCATTTACATCTAGACATAACTTGCAGTTACTAGCGTACCAAGGTTGAGGATTGGATTTTGGATCCCTTTTAGTCCTTGTTCTGCATAACAAAAATCACTTCTCAGTCATTATCATCTGTTCATATTGGTAATGTTTATACATCCCAAGTGCAACTATCACATTGCATAAATTCTTATTTTTCACTCAACATAAAATTAAATCCGTCTATTAAATCATAAATCATGTTTGATGGAAGAAGTAAACTCTTGGCGGTCTACAGTGACTGAAATAACAACACGAAATCGATGGCATAAACTCCACGAACAGATTGCTTCACAAAAGGAATTTGTATAAGTAAACATTAACATATCGTGCGACATTTAAATGTACATTAACTTCAAATCTTGTATTCCCCCAAGTAACCCTCTGAAATGAGATCACAGTTAAGGAAAGAGCAAATCTAGCTCATTCACCTATTAAAGATGTATACAGTACAAAGGATTTGTCAAACAATGTGTCAACTAGCTAAGCTAACTATAGATAATACAACTACAGAGCTTTACTGTCAGCTATATTACACATTTCATGAACTTTCAAAATTAACATTCCAAGATTCATTCTTCTGAGGTAAAACGGGGTCAGTTACATATGATGTCCGTGGAGCCTGATTTCTCAAGAGAGGAAGCCTCGTAGGTACATAGTCGTCGTCGCTGTCATAGTTGATCATGCGCTCAGGACCAAGAACTCGAAGAACCATGGCAATAAAGATAGAAAGTGCCTACATAAAAAGAGGAAAGAAAAAAAATGATAGAACTTAGGTAAATGTACTTCAAAGATCATAAAAATCAAACACGAAAAGGTAAAAACTAAAGCATAGGTTGAACATAACTTTTAATCGAATAAAAGGGAATGCTGCGCGCATTGTATGATTGCATGTTTATTTGATGGCTCAAGCCCATAATGCAACCCTATCAGCAGCCTTAAAGAGAGTGAAGAGTGGGTAAGGAGTGTATTCTCTTAAAATTCCTATTTGTTCGATACCGGTTCACAAAGAACACCTCCATTAGCAACATCAAGCTTCACAAGGTCTCATCTCAAAGGGATTCACTTCTCAAGACAAACCAACACAAAAGGAGATGGCACCAGGCAAGTGAAAAATGAGCCAATTGAGAAGCTCAATGCAATATTCTTTTATCCTTTCCCTATGCAATATTCTTTTATCCTTTCCCTCCCACAACCACCTTCTCTTCAAAAAAATAAATCTTCATTACATCTTTGTGCAACATTGCATAATATCATGATCAGTTCCTATTAAGTGTTGAATCCTAAAGGATGAATCATTTTCTTCCTATGATATTATAAGGTAATTGGTTTCTTGGAAATCCTTGGGGATGAATCATTTTCTTCCTATGCTCACGAGCGGTAAAAGGAAAGGGTAATGAGAGGGTAGAGAGCTAAAACCTCCCAAACTAGCCACACAAAAAATGCTGACAAATTAAAAATAAAACATTTGAAGGGGCTCAATGAGTTAACTGCCAAATCAATCAGAGATTAGGCCTTTGGTCCAATTGTCTAAACTCTTGTTAGCGTTAGATTTCATCAAGCAGATCAAGCGCTTCCCTATTGCATCAAGGAGAAGGTTGCACTAAAAACTTATAAATAACCATCTTCAGGCAATTGTATATGCATAAATAACAACATAATGGAGAATTAGTTAGACTAATTGATCTCCTCTGTCATCAATTACTCTCGATCAAGCAACGAGGTTCTTCTGCAACCTCCCACCATCAATACATTGAAGATATGGATATCAATAAGACATCAACAACTAGTTGCAAATGATCGACAATCTTGGATAAAGGTATGCATAGTTAACCTTGGATAAAGGTATGCAAGGTTAATCGCTCCTATATTTCGTTATATTATACGATATATCAAGAATTACAACCGCAAATATCTAAAGAACAAGCTAAGCATAGTATGATACAAATAATGATGCCTCTGGAAACATGATTTATCAAATATATGATGCCTCTGGAAACATGATTTATCCAAAATATATACCTGTGTAGCTGCAATAGACAAGCTTATCCATTTGCACATTTCAAAATTTGATCTCACAAAATCTTTGAATTCATCAAACTTTCCTGAAGGATCATCTGGAAAATCCTATTCATTGATGCAGAGTCTATTAGTAAATCACAAAAATCATAGAAAAGCAAAAAAGAAAGGTCCTATAAACAAAACAAAAAAATCAATGAGATTACTACCTCTTCCCAGTTTCTGTTCAGGAAAACATCAGCAGTAATAGCAGCCTCCAATGCAAGGAGTAAAAAAACAACCACCATGTACTATGATATCCATTTAAGGTCAATAAGAAAGGCAAAGGATAATACTAGATAATATAAGGCAGGAATTCATGGAAAAGCATCTTCATTTTGAATAGAACGTGAAGAAAATATTCTGATCTAGTTTCATTAGAAAAGGATACACAAGAGAGGCAATGGCCGTTGGCAGTTTCAGCAGCAATGTATCCAGAGCAAGTTATCAAGCATAGTGAAATTCCTAGACCAAGAAAGGCGTACATGAACCTGCAAGTTTGCCAGTATTTATATCTCAGGCTTTATACCATTTAGCCATTTAGCAAAGTATAACAAGCTGTGCCATCTGTACGAAAGTTAAGCTCATTATCAAATAAAACTAAGAAAAAAACAAAATTCAGGAATAAGATGTACGGCTGCCAAAAACAAAAATAAATATCAGTTGTCTGCTTCCGTTAAATATGAAAGTAGCAAAACCACTAATATAAGTTGTGCTTTAATCCAAGATACAAACTAAAAACTAATATGTATGAGCACATATAAAATAAATAAGTATGCTTCCTTAAGTACATAAATAAGTATGCCTCCTTAAGTACAAATATGACAAGATGGACGGCCAGGTGTTGCTGTATCAATGCATATATAAATTAAGTAGTGAATTCCTATTGAGGGATACCAGAAACAATTCTTAATGGACTGTGTTGCCAAGATCACATCATTAGTCTCATTAAACTACTATATGCCTGAAATACAAGCTAAATTTTGTATTGGAACATCATTCACATAGGATTCCTAGATGTGACAACTAAGAACAGGAGATGATCGTCTTAAATCACCATTTAGAGGTCAGAAAAGCTTCACTTTTCTTCAACCACCACCCTATGAGAGAACCTAGAAAGTATTCCAGATAAAGAGGGGAAATGATAATAATCTCGTGATAGCATTGGATCCACTCTATGGCACAATACAAGCCATAGAGCCAAATGCAACAGGGTACTAATAATGATCGATAGCAAACTAAGGTGTTGTTTAGCAACGACTTAACTGAGGGGTTAAGGAAAGTCAACCCCTGGGTTAAGGAAAGTTAACCCCTCCTTAACCTGCCAATCACAATAAAATTTTACAATGAGTTAAGATAACTAAAAGAAAAAAGATAGCCCATATTAATTCGCCAATACAAAATTATAAGAGAGTTAAAATAACACCTCTAGTGAGGTCAATATGAGTTAATCCCTCAGTACGAGGGGTTTACTAATCCATCTCTATAAACGGGTCAAGAGAACCCCTTTATCTATAAAGAAAATAAAGAAGAGCACAAGAATTAAAACAAATCTTAAACTAAATCGTTAGCCAATTTAACGCTTTTAATACTAATGTATTAACCAACTTAACCCTTTCTCCTTAACAGCTCCATAAAAATTTTCCAAACGGAGAAAGGCCCAACTCCACTGTATCAATTGCAACAGTGTTATATCTATCGTCGGTTTCAATTTAATTTTCTACAATTGCTACAATCATCAAGCTCTCATGATTACTACAAACTAAAATTCTAATTAAATTTATAACTCGTTATCAACAAGTAAATAGTGTTTCCTTCCATCAAGCAACTTCTTCCCTATTCCAAGGAGACCCCACAAACAGACCGCTAATCATAGCCTTCCTCAAAACAAACAAGCATCCAAACAGACAGTACAGTAACAAAAATTAACCACCAAAAAAATAATAATAATCAACCTCCAGTTCTACACAAAATGGGCAACCAAGATGCAAACTTTGCAGGTAAACTACAAACAAAAGGAGAGATTTCAAACCAAGGAGAAGCCGAATCGGGCACGCCATGCCGGTACCAAACCCGAATCAGCCACAGAGAGTACAGTATCATCCCCATCCCAGCGAACCCTAGGATCGAATTCACCACCTTCAGCGTCGACTGAAGGCAAACCCTAGCCCACCTCCCCATTCCCTGTGATTCTCACCTCAAAATTCCTCCTTTTTACGAGGGGCTTTAAGAAAAAAGTGGGTCTTTTTTAATTTTAGCTTGGGTTGTAAGCAGAGGATAAAAGAAGAAGAGAATCGCGATTTTTTCTCTCTTTTCTGAATTTTTTTTTTTCGCGGCTGCGGACAAAGATTTTGTCTTCGAGAGAGGGAGGTGGGAGTTTGTGTTGTGCGGTTGACACGTGCGTGGAATTTTTGGATGCGGAAGGTGATGGTTTGGTGTGGAGAGGGGAAATATCGGATTATTCTTGGGGGGAGTTGTTGATGGGACACTAGAATTTTTGGTATTTTTCGTAGATGATGCTATAATTAATAAGATATTTCCAAATCATTTACTCCCTTTGAAAGAGATTGTTGTGGAAAAAAAATTATTAACTATACTGGCCCTATTCTTTTTTATATTATATTTTAATCATATATTAACTAAATTAATTAATCATATTACATGTCACTTTAATTTTGTCTATCTTAACTTTAAAACTCTCAATGTAACTGTAAAACTCTCATACTAATTATGAATAATGCATAATACTATATTAATAGATAATTGCAAGTTAATAACTTATTTTGGAAGGAGTAGAAAATATAGAATTGTCCTAAAATTATATCATGGCACTCACATAGGAAAATTATAAAGAATATTCTTGAGTACATAAGTACAAACATGCAATTTTATAAAAAAAACATTAGGATATTTAAGTGCATTAAGATATAAGTGGAGGTATATGAGTATAACTTTCGTAAGCTGTAAGGTATTTAAGTTTAATGAAGCCTATAAAGATTTGAAGCATTTATTAACCACAAGCAATAATATGTGATCCCTTTGATAAATAATATTCATCGTATAGTATGAGGCCAGAGGCATAGCTTATATTTATATAGTACAGAAGATGTGGAAAAGTTTAAGCTTCATATTTTGAATAATCTCAATATTCCTATTCTTTTTTGATATTATATTCTAATTATAAATTAACTAAATTAATTATCATTATTATGTACAAACATGCAATTTTAGAAAACATTAGGATATTAAGTGCATTAAGATATAAGTAGAGGTATATGAGTGTAACTTTCGTAAGCTATAATATATTTAAGTTTAATTAAGCCTATAAAGATTTGAAGCATTTGTTAACCACAAGCAATAGTATGTGATTCCTTTGAAAATAATATTCATCGTATAATATAAGACCAGAGGCTTAGCTTATATTTATATAGTACAGAAGATGTGGAAAAATTTAAGCATCATATTTTGAATAAGTCTCAAGATTTTGAATTATAAATGAAATTATATATTTCGCTTGGAATCATACTCCCTTTAAAAGAGGAAGTTGTAGAAAAACTTTTCTACGGACTATATTACCCCTATTTTTTAAAATATTATATTTTAATCCTAACTAAACTAAACTATGACACCCTAGGGTTCACACAAGGCTGTAGTCCCAGGTGAAACCTGGATTGTCAAACCTGCCAAGCACCAAACACCATGTTGTTTGCGTCAAAAGTTGGTTTTGTCATGGAATTTATTATATCTTCAGTCGATTACAATAAATTCAAAAAGAGATAGCCTTTTTATAAGACTTCTTTTACACAACAAAATAAAAATTACAACTCTTGGGAAACAAACGCAGGATCGTTGTTTGGATCACTGCTTGCGTGGGATCTTTGCCTGTGCCGGGGGTGCGTTAGCCCGTGGACCACCAAATCACAGATTCTGATCGAATCGTGAGGGGTTTATAATTCTGACTTCGTTTATCGAAGTGAGAACTTGAAACGATATCTTATCAAGGTAAGATAGTCGTTCTTCTTGAAATCAAGTCAAAGCCTGAATATCAAGGAGTTACAGAAGCTCGAGTACTCTGCCCTCTCTGCTCTGAAATCAGCCTGTGGATGCTCTCTGATCAGCCTCTCCCAAAAAAAATCGATCTCGGGGGGTATTTATAGCCTCTGGGATGAACAGTTCTTCCGAGACAGTGTTTACTGTCTCGGGAACAGTAACTGTCTGGCAGTCTCGGGTTCCGAGACAGAAAAGACTGTCTCGGCCCGTGAGACAGTAAATACTATCTTGGGAACAGTAACTGTCTGGCAGTTTTCGTTGTAACTGCCTTCCCACGAGAGACAGTAAAGGCTGTCTCGCACGGAGAGACAGTAAAGGCTGTCTCGCACGGAGAGACAGTAAAGACTGTCTCGCACGGAGAGACAGTAAACACTGTCTCGCGCGGAGAGACAGTAAAGACTTTCTCGCGCGGAGAGACAGTAAAGTTTGTCTCACGTGCGAGATAGTAAAGACTGTCTTTTTTCTTTGATTTTTCGATGATCTCCTCTTGAGCTATATTTGGATATCTATTAGCATTTTTTGACGCCTACAGATACCCCCTCCAAAGTGTTCCAGATTTATTCTTTTATAGAGGAGTCTGGGACATTTTGGATAAGACAGGTCTTATTTGCAATCCTTTCAATACTTGATTGACTAGATCGTGTAGAAAAATGGCTCCAGCCCTTGATCTCTTCATCCATTAGTCTATTCAGTTCTTTGTAGAATAGCTAATGCTTCTCCGGCCCTGCGTTTATCGCTTGACCATTGTTGAGACCTTGAATCGAAGCTGGTATTTCCAGATTGATGTTTGTATGTCCATTGAGAGTTCATCAGGTTATCCTTAAGAATATTCAGATTAATATCCTCCAGAAACTGCCTGTCGAGTGTAGGAAACAGTT